GAGAGAGCCAACAATTCCTCCCTCCAAGATGGCTGGCCTGAAGCCCTGAAGACAGCAACACCCACTGACTCAGCAATTTCACTGGCGGTGCCCACTGACTGACTCAGCAATTTCACGGCTGGAGACTCACCCTGAGGAGATGCTCTGCAGAAGGACCAGGCCATACGCCTGAAGATGCTCTTTGTGGCATTGCTCGAAATAGCCCGGACAGGGAACCACCCAGCTAGCCTGCAGTAAGGAAGCATCAGCCACAACGAAGAGTATGCACCTACTAAAAGCCACATGTGCAGGCCACGGAGAGCCACGGAATTGACATTGATGATACCACAGAGGGAAACAGAGCAGCCCAGGTCAGTTAGGTCCTTAGTTTGCCCACTGCAGGGGACCGGCAGACAGGAGAAGGGCTGGGTTGGAGCAGTGTTCTATTCTGAGGGACTTGTTCTCTGAATCACTTAAACAATCACTGTTTACTGTGGCCTGGGTCAGCTCTGAGGTAGAGGGTGGGGGAGGGGCAGAGAATAGAAACGCATTTCTTGTTCATCTCCAGCTTCAAACCCAATGTCTGTTTCCCCCAATATCCTTCAATTCCGTCACAGTGTCTTGTTCCAACAAAAAAAAAAAAACCCAGCTAATGAAAGAAAGAACTGAGAGACGGCACCCCCCTCCTTCTGGGACACGGATGCCACTCCAGGTGTCAAAACCACCTCCAGCCACTTCACATACACGTTAGAAGAACCAAATGAATTATGGTAGTGATCTTGGTCTTATAGCGTCTTAGTCTCCTCTGCAGCAAAAACAGTTTTTAGAAACCCATGTTTTTGGTTTTTTTTAAAGGGGAGGGGGGTGAATGGAGTCAGGACTTGTTACTAATCTTGTGGCCGAATAATTAAGTGCGCCTAATTCTGAAAGCAGCGAGCTAAATTATGCAGTGCCAAACCCAACAACTCTCGTACCTACACCATCTCGTCTCCACCGGCATGATTTTTAGCTTTGCAGCTCAGAAACTCTGCCAGGAAACCTAATAAAAGGAAGCAAAAATATTTCTGTTTCGACCAAGCTGCCATTTGAGAAAGACTTTTAAATATGTTCTTCTGTATGTGTAAATCTGACAGCAGATGCATAATGAAAGCCCCAAGGGAGAGCTTCCTTTTAATCTGCTCAAAGCAAACCAATAAAGCATCCTTTAAGATGTGAGATGATGGATTAATACTCTTTGGACGGTTCTGAATTTCTCCAAGCCAGAGTGTTGCTGCTAAGAACACAGTTGGGAACTAGAGGAGTGAGTGCCTTGGTACGGTCCTCATCCTTGGTGCACCTGACGCCAGATGATACAGATGATGATGTACCAAAGGCCACACTTGCATCTGTCTCGAGTGCTGTTGCTTTGGGTGTTTGTTAAATGGAGGAATGCAGACACAAACATGTTCACATTAAAATAAACTTAACCCCACCCTCCCCTAGGGAATATGTCACAGAGAGTAAAGGGGAGAAGTAGTAATTACCCAGGGCTTCAGATCTGTGTGAGCAACCAGGATGAATAATTTAGGGTACAAAGTGGACTTTTTAAATGTCTTGCTCGAGCTACTCAGACTTTTTATACATCCTCAACTACCGCTGAATAATTGCAGGCACATTTCCCCGTGGGGTCTGTGCTGTGTGAAGACATGTGTGTTTACACAGTTGCAAAATGCCCAGCTCAGGATAGGGGGCCCTGTTCAGGTCAAATGCTAGGACAAATATTCCCTCTCACGGTGATGTTCCGTCTGACCTTGAACATACATGGTCAGATCGAATCTCCCTTTCTGCTGCTACCTCTGAAGACCAATTCCCGCCCTTTCTGTTACCTCCCCTGAATGCGTGCTCTCGAGAATGAGGGTTCTTAGACCACACTTCTCCAGAATGTCCCCTGCTTGCTAGGGCCTGTTTCTGATTTTCTGTAGTTTGTATTGGCCCTTGCCTGCCTAAGGCCTACGGCTGCTTCTAACTCATCTGCCTGGAACATCTGTGCGACCCTTCAAGTTTTTTTCTGTATTTAATCAGTTGCTGGCCTGACTAGCAAACTAGTCCTTGCCTTAGCATCAGATTTATGCATGCATACAGGCATACAGATAGATACACACACACACACACACACACACACACACACACAGAGAGAGAGAGAGAGAGAGAGAAACAGATACATATTATTAATATTTCATTCTCACATAAGGATATTCTCACTTCTCTATGTATGAAATAACTGTAATATATACCACACAAATTCAGCTCTGGATTGAGGTGAATCCCTCATAACTGTGTGACCTTGTATAAATCTCCTAACACTATACCACTCAGACTCCTTTTTGTTCTGGTCATCTTTAGTGAGGATGGATCAGACACGTTACATCTCAGCTGCCCCTGTTGAGATATGCTCAAACTGCTGGCATGAAGAGCAAAAGTTAACCTTTCTAAACAGGGCCTGGCACACAAAACCCTTCACAGTTACAAAATGAACGAAGGGATGTCTACACTTAAACCATGCGGATCATTCAGCTGAGCCAGAAAAACAACAACAAAAATGTTCCATCTCTTTAGGCGGGATACAGAGTTGGACCCCTGAATTCCACACTGCTGCATGAACCACACACCCTGTGAGGATTGTTGATCAAATAAAACCCAGAACCTGATAGTTTTCCTCTTCCCTGGATGAGGTGGCGGACTGGAGATCCTCCACTCTGCATTTATGGCTGAGCTTTGGTTCCCTGTGTGATTGCATCCATAACTGCATCAGTAATAATAACAGACATTTGAAGGGGAAGGGATAGACAAGCAGAACATAAGCCGACATATGTAGGTCTTTGCGGAAATCTCAACCAAATATATTTTTCACGGAGAAGGCTAAAAGGATAATCATGCTGGTTGGGCACTCAGAAGAACTTACTTGGCTGACATAAAAGGACCAATCTAAACCACTATCCCCAAGTGTGGCAGGCCAGCAGGCAGCTGGCAGGGACCACTCATACGGCAGTTTTGGTTTCCCCACAGAGGGCCAGTTCCACCCCGAGCTGTCCACAGGCTGGTACTAATGTTGCCCTGCAGATTTTGGAAGCAACTTGCTAGGCCCTTCATAGCCCAGCCACAATCTTTGGTGGTAGCTCATCCGCAATGCCTGCCTAAATCTAAAAGAGAGAGCATAGTTCCATTCCATTTGACTAAAGAGCAGCCAATCCTGACGGTAGGTGAAAGGATGAGGTAGGGAACAATTTCCAAACAAGCTGACTTGATTTTGTACATGAAGTTGAGGGGGAAGCCCCCGAAGGAAGGACAGTGATGCTCAGGAGAGACACACAGTGAGCACAGGTCACAGGGACAGGCTCTTTGGATGGATTCCCAGCCTGGAGAGGAAGAGGACACTGGGCATCAACTTCTGCTTATCTTGCAGCTCCATTAGGAAGCTAGAGCATGTCACTGGGAGAAAGGTACTGTGACAAAATATATTCACAGGTGTACCTTCAGGTAGAAGAAGCAACAGGGAGTGTTTACCAGACAAGTACATGTCAACAATGAATTATAAACACATGATGTCATCCTCCAAGATTAAGCATCCCTAGTACTTTTAAAGCACTTTAAAAAAAAAAAAACAAACCCTCTAGTTGCTATAGCAACTCGATGCAGCTCTTAAAAGGGGATTTTGAGGGGGTCATTTTATATCTTCAATCACCATAACAACATGATATATATTTTTAAAGGGTTTTTTAAAAATATCTAATTTGTGTAGACTTTGGACTTGGTCCATATTTGCCTTTTCTATTTAAAATAATCAGATCAAGCATGACACGGGGGAAAAATGATTGGAGGCAAGGAAGTACTTTCACAGACTATACAGAGAGAGACAGAGACAGAGAGAGAGACAGAGAGATATGCAGAGAGACATCTCCCTCTGTGCATATCCTGAACAAACCTGCTACCTCTCTCTGCCTGAGGCAGAGTCCATGCCCCATACTCTGAACTGTCACAAAGAAAATGTGTTCATATGAAGTTTCTCACTTCTCCACCCTGAAAGTACAGCCCCTTCCTCCCAAATTGCACCAGCGGAAAAGGATGTCTTGGGGTGACGAGTGTGACCAGCAAGAGCTTCTCTTACCCTGAGACTCAAACAGGAGTGGGTGAGACACAGCCAAATCTTGTCAAAGTATGTTTCCGCGGCACTCTGCAGAGCTACATAAATGGGGGAGGTGGCTGCTTTACATGATGCCGAACGCCTGGGAAAAGGAGTGGGTGGAGGGGGCTGGACACAGTGGTGGCTGGAGACCGTCTCTCCAGAAGGAGCGCCAGGGGACTCAGTCTAGCTGGGGAGGAGAGTTGGGGTCTCAAGACTGCACATTTTCCCCAACGTTAAGAAAACCTGAGCTGTTTATACCGAAAGTGTAATGTAAAGGCGACTACCGCCTGGCTGTCATTGGTTGGACAAGACGTCAAGAACTTGGAGAAGATGGAAGGGGAACAACCAAGGCGAATGGTGTAAAACAGTTGAGCGGAAGAGGTGGATTGCAAATAACGGACTTTACTTTGAGGGGGTGGGGCAGTGTCGACAGGAGAAGAGAATGCGAGGAGGAAATTAAAACGCTGGGAATGGACGCAGAAAAGGCTTTTATATTCACCTGCTGAGGATACCGAGGCCTGGGTGGGGTGGGAAATAGCAGCCCTCAACACCTGTTCTCTCAGCAACCCTCTTACAGAGGACAAAACCGAGGAGCGGAGCCTGGACATGGAGCGCTCAAAGTGCTTGGCGCCTCGCTGACACACAAGTCAAATGTGATGACAGCCGCTAAGAGCTGGAGATGGTGCATTCGGGCCACCTCTCGCTCCGAATGCAGGAAAGAAAAGTAAGAGGACCAGAGGACGGAGAACGAGACAGAAGCAGGCAAAGGGTGTCAGGAAGAGGGCCCAGCCTGAGGTCGGTGGAAAGGGCAGCGAGTGACAGGCGCGCAGAGGAAAGACGCGCGGGGCGCGCCGCTCACCTATGGTCGACACCACGGTGCCCACGAAGTAGAAGGCTCCGGGGAAGTCCCAGCGCGGTCGCAGGGCGTCGGCGCGGACCCCGGCGGCCAGCGCGGCCTCGTAGTGCCGGAGGAAGGCGCGCAGCTCCGGCTCCGCCACGCCGTGCGCCGCGCTGAAGTTGCGCAGCGTGGCGCCCCAGCGCGCCCGCGCCTCCGCCTCGCCCGGGCTCTCGAGCGCGGAGAAGACGGTGGCGCCCGCCACCAGGTAGAGGCCGATGAGCGCGGCCAGCAGCACGAAGCGCCCGGTGTCCTCGTTGAGGTGCGAGCGGCGGCAGCAGCAGCAGCAGCAGGAGGGACGCGGCAGGCGGCGGCGGCAGCGGCGGGGCGGGGGCCGGGGGCTGCGGGAGGACATGGTCCGCAGCTCAGCCCCGGGGCTGGGGCGGCGCTCGGAGCCGGGGCCGTGACATCCCCACCGCAGGAGCAGGAGCGTGAGGATGGTGGCCAGAGGTCTGGGGCCGCCGCGGAGCCCCTCTGCAGCCTCCCCCGGAACCGGGACGGCAGGGAGCCTCTGCCTCCTGCCTGGGTTTCAGGCCACACACCGTGGGTCGTGCGGCCCAGCGGGCACCCGAGCTGGAGCGCTTCTCTCGGCTCCCCGACGCCTTACTGCCTCCCGCGGCTCGTCACTTGCTGCCCTCGGGCTCCGGGCTCCGAAGCTAGGCCAGCGCCGCCCGGTGGCCGGAGTCCACCGGGCCCCGGGCCGCATACTCCTCTCCGGACAGGCCGTGGGGTTGCGAACCGGTTGAGCCGTGGAGTCCGGACGCCTAGGATCGGAACACGGTGGCAGGGCAGAGAGCGAGTCCTCTGGGGCGTCCCATGAGGCTGCCGGGGCTCGGTGGCGCCTAGGCGCAGGCTGGGCGGGCGGTCCTGTTCCACCGCTGATACTGAGCTGGCGGTGTCGGCTTCGGAGCCTCAGAGCCGAGCCGAGTCCTCCGGGGAAGCGGTTCTTTCCCTTCCCTGCTACCGCCGGAGAGCTACCCAACACGGAAAGGCGGAGTCACCGGAGCACGGGGCGGGGTGTTGGGGAGGGGTGAGTAAGGAAGGGAGGAAGGGGTGGAGAGTTGGGCTCCTGCGACGCCTCCGGGTCGTTCTGGCGGCACCAGCGCGTCCCATCGGAGCAGGTGTCCCACTGCGGTGCTGGCTGCCAGCGCGCTAGACAACCGCGTCCTTCCTTCCCTGCGCTTGGGCTCCAGAGTCTCTTCCTTTCTCAAGCCACTGGGAAACTTTACTCAACTTGGTGCTTTAAGGTCTCAGGGGCTGGGGGCCATCGGGAGCCAAACCCGACTTCCGATTCTCGGCCTCCAGCCTGAAGTTTAAGTTCCCTTTGCTCACTCTTTTGTGCCTGGATCCAACCGCTGCGCCAGGACTCCGGCGGAGTCCTCTCGGGGAAGAGACACGGCTTGGGAACCAAGGACAGGCTCCGGGCGCGGCGGGAACCAGGGCGTCTGCTCCCCCTCCCGACTGAGCGGCCGGCCGGCGTCAGCACCGCGGACAGCGCATCGGTGCGGCAGACCGGGGTGGGAGGCTCTAGGCTGCGGGGACCCTCCACCCGGAGCGCGGTTGCTCACCCGGCACCGCGGTGCTCCCCAGACCCTCCTTGTTTTCCCCTTCTACCTCCAGATTGTCCCCTACTCCACCCTGACGCAGGTGCGGTGGCCGAAACAGCGTGTCGCCAGGGTGCGGACGCTGCGGAACTGAGTCGGGAGGAGGAGTCACGCGCAGGTGGGGGACTTGGGGCCACCAGAGCAGGAGGATCCTAGGCCCGGCACTGCTGGGGCTTCTCTGCTACCCCAGCTCACTCGCCCGAGGGACCAGAGACTGGATACACCCCGGGTGCGGTGGAGGGTGAGGAGGGTAGAAGCTCGCTAGGAGAAACAGTGTGCTTTGGAACGCCCTACGGAAGCCTCCTCCGCCCTATATCGGTGGGTGTATATATAGTGGGTGATGCGCGCAGCCGCTGGTCCTTCTCTGCCAGGCAGAACCCAGTTTGGCTGGAGTCATAAAGTTGTGCAGTGAGGAACGCCCTCGGTATAGACAGATAATTCCGTCCTCTCTGGGTACCCATCTCCCCCCTTTCCCCTCCTCTCTTTTATTGACCTCGAGGAAGAGCCTACTAAGGATATGATATAGATAACAGGGAAGAGAATACTGATGGTGACTTCTTAGACACTCCAGGTGGCTGAGAGAACTCTGGCAAAATGCTGAGCTGCCTTCATCCTGCCCCCAGCCCAGGGCCAGACTTGCTAGCCTCCACCACAGGAAAACGCCACCACCTACTCAGAGGGGTGTTTGCAGTGTGGTGGTACTTACTGTGAACCAACCACGCAGTGAATATTTCACAACTATAAATCTGGAATCCCCCCACCCCGCCACCCAGTGTAGAGGCACAGGCTGGCACTGGAGGCAGGAGAGGTGTGGAGTGTTGCGTGACACCTGTCTTGGGATGTAGATGGTGACCAACCAGGGGTAAGGGAGGCTTGCATCTTAGAGGCGCTGCTCCAGTGTATGGGTAGAGGGGACCACGCCCCTCTAGGTATGCACAGATTGGGAGAGATCCACCCCACTGCGGACGGCTAGTTGTGGTTTAAGGAGGAGAACAGCTTAACCACCGAGAACCCTGAGTGCACTGATTCACAGTGGGAGGTTTATCCAGTCGCCAGCCTTCACCACTGCAAACTACTGTTATCGTCAACTGCTCCCTTCCCAAGCCTTTGCCTCCGCTGACTGTCGCCCCAGTCGGCCTCTGCAGACAGTAAGGATGGCCTAGCCATGGACCTCTGAAAGAATCATACCTTGAGAGGTGTGATTTCAGGAGATGTCCTCGGAGCCTCCAGATGCAGCTGAGAGACACTGCCAGGCCTCTCCTGGCTTTGCCAGACTCCCAGAGCAGGGATGGTGTGCTTGACTGCAGTGTTCTGTGCCTCTGGGTCTCACTCCTTGCCTAGCTGGCCGGGGGCCCACCCTGTCCTCCAACCTGTGATTCTAGCTTGATTAGCAGAAAACCCTTGGCATCAACTTCAGTGCCGAGTGGCGAATCTATTTATGTAATAGAGAAATGATGAGTTCCCTGCTCATAGATGTGGGTCCTTTAGGGAACCAGCCCCATGATGAATGTGGCTTTTGCCCACTAAATCAATATCTAAGGCACTGATTGTGCCAGCTGGCTATCCTAATGCTTTTACCTCAGCCCAGAATTGTCGCAACAGTCCTGAGGCTAGGGCTTGCTGAGGCAGAATTTCCCCACCTAGGGCCATCCTAACTGCCAGTCACTGCTGTCGTCCTGCCCATTCAGCCTAGTCATGTGACAGATGTCTCCAAACCTCACTCTCCAATGGCTTTCTAGCCCTACACAAAATTGGTGTTTAAGTCTGTGAGTTTGTGGTTCAGCGCCTTTATTATGTGATTTCCAGAGTTGGTGATGGGGGTGTGGTGGGTGGGGGAGTGGGGGGTGTCTCATCCCAGCTTTGCCTTCTATGCCTTCTACTTCTTACTCCTAAAGCACCCCACTTCTGACCCACTCCCCAGGCCACTGGTCACACTGTGGGCCCCTCTTCTTCAGCTTTCCAAATATAGAATCAGCTTCGATTCCCTTTTCTTTTAAAATTTTGACTTGATGTATGTGTGTGCGCGTGTGCAAACACATGCGAGTACACACTACTGTATGTGGATGAGGTCAGAAGACAACTTAGGGGAGTTGATGCTCTCCTTCTACCAAGTCGGCTCTGAAGAGTGAACTCAGGTCATCAGGATTGGTACCAAGTGCCCTTCCCTACTCACTGAGCCATCTTGTCAACCCGAGTTTTCTTTTTCTCACTAAACTTTTCCTTTGTAGGACATTTTGACCCATGACTTTGATGCTGGCATTTCAACCCCAACCTTCTTGTAACTACCATGTACTCAGGAACTTCAGACAGGACAAATGAACAGACATTTGTCTGTTTCTCCCTTCCTCCTCTTCCTCTTTTCTTCCTCCCTTTCTGTCTTTCGTAAGGGGAAATACAATGTTGGAGTGCTAGCCAAGAAAGTCAGGTAATGCCAGATTCAAACTCAACCAGCATCTCCATGCGTAGGAACACAGCCAAGATACATAGAATGTGTATCTACTACACTCAGAAATACTGACAGTCACAGCGGTAACAAACGGGAACTGTTAGGTCAGCTAATATGTGAGAAACTAAAACACAGTATGTCTGTACAACAGAATGTTCAGCAGCAAGTGGAGTGAGGTACTGATATGGGCAATAAACATATAATAATCCTAAAAGAATTGTGCTTACAAGGAAAACAGTATCACAAAAGATCACATATTATGAAGTCCAGTTCTTTGAAATATCCATAATGAGTAAATCCACAAAGACAGAAGCAGCTCAGTGGTCACTTTGGGGTTAAGGATTGTGGTGGTTTGAAGAAAATGGCCCCCACAGGCTCTAGGGACTGGCACTATTAGGAGGTGTGTTGGAGGATATGTGTCACTGGGGGAGGGCTTCAAGGTCTTGGATGCTCAAGCCAGGCCCAGGGTGGCATTGTCTTTCTGCTGTCCGCCCATCTGAGTGTAGAGCTCTCAGTCCATCTCCAGCACCCACCATGTCTACCTGCACACGCTGTGATTCTCATCATGCTGACAATGGACTAAACTCTGAAACTGTAAGGCAGCCCCAGTTAAATGCTTTGTTTTATAAGAATCGTCATGGTCATGGCATCTCTTCACAGCACTGGAAACCCTGAAACAGGGGTGGATGGGAATGACAATGGATGACTGAGTTTCTGTATGAGGGCGGTGAAAATATCCTAAAGTTGATTGTGGTGATGATGCTATGATTCCGTTTAGAGACTAAAAAACATCCAGTTATGTATTGTAAATCCCAGAATTGTATGCTATGTGAACTGAAGCTCAGTAGACCTGTTTAAGAAGCACAAGGGTAGTGGTTTGTATTTAAAAAACAGAAGTAGCCGGGCGGTGGTGGCGCACGCCTTTAATCCCAGCACTCGGGAGGCAGAGGCAGGCGGATCTCTGTGAGTTCGAGGCCAGCCTGGGCTACCAAGTGAGTTCCAGGAAAGGCGCAAAGCTACACAGAGAAACCCTGTCTCGAAAAACCAAAAAAAAAAAAAAAAAAAAAAAAAAAAAAAAAAAAAACAGAAGTAGAGCCAGGCATGGTGACCCATTTTTGTATCACAGCACTGTGGAGGGTGAAGCAAGATGGTTATGAGTTTCAGACACATGCCTCCTCCCCAGGAAAATAATATTATCCTTCCTTCCTTCCTTCCTTCCTTCCTTCCTTCCTTCCTTCCTTCCTTCCTTCCTTCCTTCCTTCCTTCCTTCTTTCCTTCCCTATGTAGACCAAGCTGGTCTACAACCCACAGAGCTCTACCTGCTTCTGTCTCCTGGGTGCTAGAATTAAAGATGTACATACCCATGCCCAGTGAAAAATAACTTATTAAAAATTAAAATAACTAGCGTTGGGAGGCTGATGCGGCTCAGTTGGTTGAGTGCTTGCCTTCTGGGTTTGATCCAAGCGCCACATAAAACCCTAGTGACAGCACATGTCTGTAATCCCAACAGAGGCAGGGGGATCAGATGTTCAAAATACATAGTGAATCTGCAGCCAGCTTGGGCTACATGTGACTCTCTCTCAAAAACAACAAAAAGGTGGAAAATTTGAACCAGTTTAGCTGTAAAGAGAAAAATGGTTATAAAATTCAGTTTGAACAAAGGAATTTGTTCCAAACAATACTCTCTTTTAAAAATTAATCTGTGCTGACAGAATTTTTGTTAGGATTCTGCATTCCAAGTAGCAGACTGGAAACATGCTGGGTGCCTCCAAACCTTTTTGATCTTCTCAGAACTGCTCAGACACTATTATCTACAGTTCTTTACAAGTTCTGGGTATCAGCCACCTATCTGAAGGGGGTTGGTAAGCACTTTCTCCCGTTCTGGGGGCTGTTGCCCTTTGCTTTCTGGAAACTTTCTGTTTTCATGTATCATCTGTTGATAATGGAATCCTCTCTCTTCGTCACTATAGCTTCATGGTATAGTTTGAGGTCCCGTGCTGTGACTCCAGCACTGTTCTCACCCTTCAGGTCTTTCCTGGTTCTATATAAATGCTTTTTTTTTCCCTAGACCTGTACCATATGACATGGTAATTTGATAACGATTGCATTAATTCTGTATATTAATTTTGGTAGCATAAACATTTTCACAATATTAATTCTGCCTATCCAGGAACATGGAATATTTTTCCATCTTCTAGTACCTTCTGGGCTTTTCTTTTTCAATATCTTTCACTATAGAGACCTTTCACCTTTTTGGTTACATATATTACTAAATACTCAATTTTGGGAGAATTAATTTGGATAGAATATTACTTCCAATTTTTTATGAGAGAGTGGGCTATTAGTATAAATAGGATACTGTTTTATGTATATGTTGATTTTTTTTCTCCTACAACTTCACTGTGTTTATTAGGTCCAAAAGTTTTCTAGTAGACTCAATAGGGTCTTTTAAGTAAAAACCATGTCACTGGAAACAGGACTAGTTTGACTTTTTCTCTTCCAAGTACCCCTTTTATGTCTTTCTCTTGTCTGCTTGCTGTAGCTAAGATTTGAGCATTGTACTGAATAAGAGAGGAGAGTGGATATCTTATCTCCTTCCTGATTTTAGAGGAAATGCTCTGTTTGTCTCCATTTAATATAATGCTGGCTACAGGATTGTTGGACAGACCCTTTACCAGTTTGAGGTATGTTCCAGCCACTCCTAAAATCTCTGGAACTTTTCTCACAAAGGCACGTTGAACTTTGTCAAATGTCTTTTCTGTGCCAATTGAAATAATTACATTGTTTCTGTCCTTGGGTTTGTTTATATGGTATAGTACATTCATTGATTTATGTTTATTGAACCAACCTTAGCTTTCTGGGACAAAGCCCACTTGGTCATAATGTTAGCTTTCCTCAGTGTGTTCCTGAGTTTGGTTAGTAAGTATTTGGCTAAAAAAATTTGCATCTATGGTCATCAAAGAAATTGTTTTGCAGTTGTTTTTATTTGTCTCTACTTGGTTTTGGTATAAAGATGATATTGGCTTCATAGAATGAATTTCTTCACTTTCTATCTTGTGGAACAAGTCTAGAAGAATTGGTGTGAAATCTAAGTGGATCAGGAAGGAGTGAAATCGGCTAATCGACACAAATTATGAATATATATAAATATAAATATAAAAGGATATAAAGCTAATTGTTTTTCTAGTTCTAATTCTGTCCTGGATTTTTTTAATTTGGTGGTGGATACATGCATAAAATACATTCAGTACTGAAAGTGTAAAATTTAACGTGAAGTTTCACAGCTTCTGTTTTTGATGCCAATTTTAACTGTCTATAAATTCATTAAGCTCTGTAGACTTTGGCTATGGTTAACTTGGGTGTGTCATGTTTTATTTGGAAGGTTTTTTAAATAATAAAGTTTCTTTTTGAAAACTGGAAGAAGTTGCTCATCTCTCTTCTGTGAAAGGCTGCTTGGGTTCCCTTTCTGGTTGTTAAAAGCCATTGTCTTCCCTACATTCTCTTGAAGTTAGGATTGTGTTTTCCTCAGTGATTCGGCAAAGGTTTCTTCGTGCCAGTGCCACAGGGTGGTGGAGGAGTAAGCCACTGTCACCTTTTGGGGTAGAAGAGACAGTCGGCTAATCTAACGTGAGGCCAGGGAGACTTGGTAAAGGGAAGAGCAGGGGAGGGGCAGACTGTGGACCGGGAGCTATTTGACAAAATTGTTCTGAGGAAAGTGAAGCCTGGCTGAAGCCTGGGGCTCACACCAGGGTCTAAGTGAGTGGATGGCGTGGGACATCACTGATGACCCATGTACCGCAGCTCTAACTTCCTGGAGCCATTTGGCATTTGAAGACAAAGTTAAGCCTGGACTTATGACCCGAGAAGAGGACATCTTTGATACCCAACGTGGATCTTCACAGGAAGGGGCATGTGATCAGCAGTAGATAAGTAATGTCACAAAGGATGCAAGGTCACAGGCAATCACAGTGGTACTTATGATGTCTTGCTCTTGCTCTGGAGATGTTCTTCTTGACAACTGCCACTCAAAAGAGAGGGTTCTTGAGACTGAGTAAACCTCATGTGGAATATGCCTCTATTGCACTATTAGTCTATTAGTCCAATAGTCCTATTGACTATTGGATATGGGATATTGAAGTCTCCAACTCTTATTATAAAACTGTATAATTTTCCCTCTAAACCTGTCAGTGCTTATTGTCAGACATTTTGGGACTCTGTTATATATTTAGGAGAGTAGAGTTTCTTGATGAGTTTACCCTTTTATTAATATGCAATCTCTTTCCTCTCTCTCTTGCTTGCTCACTCATTTTCTCAAAGTCTAGTTTGTTTAAGAATAGGATAGCCACCCAGCTCTCTTTTAGTAACTGTTTTTAAAGGATATCTTTTGGGGGCGTGGAAAGATAGCTCAGTGGTTAGAAGTGCTCACTGCTCTTTCAGGGGAGCAGAGTTCAGTTCCAGCACCCACATTAGGCAGCTCACAAATGCCTATCGCACACACGCACGCACGCACACACGCACGCACGCACGCACACACGCGCACACACACACTCCAGTATAGGGATTGAACCCAGTGCTGTGCACATACTAAGTACAGGCTCTACACTGAATTATATGGGCCACATCCCGTGTCCCAAAGTCTACCCCCCGATATTGGGATTGAATCCAGACTCCACACATGCTAGGCAAGTGTGCTACTTCTGTAACTGTACCTCAGGCCCTCAAGAATATGTTTTCCATTCTTTTACTTCCAATTTGTATCCTTAAATACTAAATGACTCTCTTGGGAGTTGCATATAGTTGGAAAAAGAGACTCCATGTCTTAAGAACAAAAATCAACTTAAATAATTCTTAATTGTTCAGTGATCTCTTGATAAGTTTCTTTTTTTAGGATGTGTATGCTGTGGGATGGTCTGCATGTCAAATGCTCTGATTGGTCAATAAATAAAACACTGATTGGCCAGTGGCCAGGCAGGAAGTATAGGTGGGACTAACAGAGAGGAGAAAAGAAAGAACAGGAAGGTGGGAGGAGACACTGCCAGCCGCCGCCATGACAAGCAGCATGTGAAGATGTCGGTAAGCCACGAGCCATGTGGCAAGGTATAGATTTATAGAAATGGATTAATTTAAGATGTAAGAACTGGATAGCTAGAAGCCTGAGCCATTAGGGCAAACGGTTTAAACAATATAAGTCTCTGTGTGTTTACTCGGTTGGGTCTGAGTGGCTGCGGGACTGGCTGGTGAGAGAGATTTGTCCTGACTGTGGACCAGGCAGGACTGGAGAAAACTCCAGCTGTGTGTGTGTGTGTGTGTGTGTGTGTGTGTGTGTGTGTGTGTGTGT